CAGTGAATTAAAAACTGATAATTTCACTGTTTTTAATTTAAGCCCCTTACGTTGTTTGAGTGAAATACAAGCGTTCACAGTGCTTGAAACCACCTTAATGACGTGACTTCGTAAATGACGTCACGTTGTATAATTATTTGGCGTGCCTTCCATTTAGTATTAGGTTAAATGTCATTTAAACGTTTATAATATAATACAAAGAAAATGTGTTACACTGAAATAAACAAATATCCTCTATATATAATATTACTTCAACAACGGGACAGAAATTCAAGGGATGAAAATGTCGTTGTCTTCAAGGTTGTGTAATATTTCGATATTAAATCATTGTTCCAAGTATATTAAAAAAAATGTTTTATAACAATGGCTGTTTTTACCATTTTTCGAAAAATCATTATTACGGCGATTAACGCGGTTTTCAAATATTTCATATATATATAAAGCATCAGATTTCCCTTGTTAATTGATTTTTAGTGTTAAATAACATTATTTTGGACCGCTTTTCTACAATAAATACCACCAAGGAACATACAGTAAAGCATATGCAACGGTTCTCATTTAGATAATGTTTGTCCAGGGTTTTGTTTTTCTATAGCACATGATTAATTGGGCGGAGCGATAAACCGTTTAGCGTCTGGTCAATTCCGCTGCGTGGCAGACTATACCTTTACGATACTGTACAAATGTGCATGTTATGTTAATGTGTTAAGCGACGATAATTTCCATTACGCCCCCTGTCAATCAAGCTGGCAGGGGTCACAGAGATAAGCTAATCAGCGATCATTATCAGTTTCACCCTAAGATGCCTACGAAGCCCATCATTTACCTTAAATAAAACAATGGTGCAGAATTAATTAAGATTAAAATTATTTTAATTTTATATAAATTTAAAGCTATTTAATCGGTGTATTACATTATTAATAAAGTTACCAGATATACTGACATATTGACATATCGAGTAAGTTAGTTTAATATACAAAAGTCAATTGATTTCTACAAATGGAAATAATGAGTTTTGTAGTGGGTACCAAACATTTATCCTGGCTGTAGCACAATGCATTAAAAAATAAAAACGTTTCAATCAATCCACATTTTTTGCCATTACCTATTCATAATCACATTATAAACATATAATAAGGTCCCAGAATATCCAAAAGATATGACATTTTGTAGTTTATAACGTATAGCGTCAATAAAAACGCAGCCGAAAAAATGCAAATGTAATGAGTAAACACAATACAGTAAACGTTGAGGAAACGAGGCGCTGTGAATATCGGAACTCTTTAAATACCGGACAATTAATTTAGTTATTCATTAAACGATTGCATGAAACATTGACAATACCGGAATCTGTAAAAATCGAGAATTGGGAAGATTAACAGTATGAAGTCAATTATATAGATAATTACCCTGACAATACCGGACGTCGAAGGTGTGAATAACCTTGCAATTGTCAATTGGTTGTTTGTAATTCGCTAACTGAGCGGTAACTAAATAGTAATTGTCTGATCTGTTTATTATGTCTCTTTTTACAGTTTGATTTACTTTGATTTATATTTCTTTCTTTAAAACATTAAAAAAAGTGTATTATTTTTTATATTTCTCTTTAAATAATGACTAAATGACTATTGATACTGCATTATCTTTTCAGGACTTTACAACCGGATCACATATATTGTAAAATATTATTTTGTAAACCCCTTATGTATTTTATTAATACCTGGTTGAATAAATATATTTGAATTGAATTGAATTGTTTATTATGTCTCCTTTCACAGTTTGATTTACTGTAAAGCATAATATGTTACCGTTGAATAGTTATGCCTAAATGCGCAGGTAAAATCGGTATGAATAAAAACACAGATTTTTTTATAATGCGTTGCTTTTGTATATAAATTTCCATATGTAGAAATTTATTGGCTATTTGTGTAATAAACAAACTTACTCGGTCCGTCAATATGCCAGTTTATTTGGTAACTTTATAAATGTACTTACACCCATAAACACTTTCAATATGATCTACGTAAATAACCAAGGTATAGCGAGTAAAAAAATAAGAGTTGCTTCCCTTATCTTCGAGTAAAATCGATATCGCTTATGATAAAACATAGTTCTAAATTTGCATAAAATTAAATAGACAGGAAGCTTGTCTTAGGTAAATGGTAGACTTCGCAGGCATCTTAGCGTGAAACTGACAACGATCGCTGATTGGCTTATCTCCGTGGCCCCTGTCAGCTTGATTGACAGGCGGCGTTATGTCAATTTTCAATGACTGCATGTTTATATTTGATACAAAATAACAACTTGTATGGCTTTATGCTACGCACGCCTTACGGCAAACTTGTTTTTCATCCCTTATTACTTAAGCTACGTCTTAAAAATCTGTATGACACCGATTAGATTACCATTTGAGCATATTACCGTTTAATCTGATAAATAATGTTGATTTTTGTTTGTTTGTTTTGAAAAATTTTCAGTACTAATTTTTCATCCGACGATGACAACAATAGAAAAATGAAACAATTTCCATTATTGGAATTACTTGGTGTTATCCATTATATGAACAATATTAAAAATTTGTTTTCTATAAGGTTATTATTACAACTGAACGAAGTCATCAACATATTGTTTGTTCGAAAAAAAAAAAAACCTTAACCCGGTATTTATATTTAATGAATTCAAATAAGTTATATACTTCAAATCCAGGAGAGACTTGCCATTTAGCTTGTGAAACTATTTGAATGTCAAAATAGACTGGATGAGACAGAAAATACAGATAGCAGACCGGCGAAGAGTACATCATAGCATTTTGGATTGTTTTATATTTAAATGAATTTTGGTGATTAAATTGTTACATATGATACTTTCCTGTATTCATTCCCGTCATATTCCAAGATAAAATGCCAATGCCTGTTTTGTTATAATTATTATTATTATTATTATAAGTAGTAGTAGTATTATTTATTCTTCTTCTTCTTATTATTATTATTATTATTATCATTATTATTAATATTATTATCATCAATATTATTAATTATTATAATTATTATTATTATCATTATTTTTTATTATTATTATTGTTATTATGATTATTTTATTTTTATTATTATTATTGTTTTTATCATTATTATTTTTTATTACTATTATTATTATTATTTATTATTATTATTATTATTATTATTATTATTATTATTATTATTATTATTATTATTATTATTATTATTATTTTCTTCTTCTTATTGTTAGCATTATTTTAATCATAATTATCATAATTATTATTATCATCGATATTATTATTAATTAATTTTATTATAATTATTTTTATTATCATTATCATTATTATTTTTATCATTATTATTATTATTTATGTATATTATAATTATTATTTATCTATTATTATATTTTATTATTATTATTATTATTATTATTATTACTATTTTATTATTAATATCTTTTTAATAATATTATTATTATTATTACTTTTATTACTTTTTATTTCTTATTATAATTATTATTATTATTTTTTTATTATTTTTGTTATTAAATCTATTATTTATTTATTTATCTATTATTATTATTATTATTTTACTGCATATTCCCTGCCATTTTATTTGATTTTTGGATTTTATTTTATTCGTATATTTTGTATTATATTTTATAAGCGCCACACCTAAAAGATAGAACACTCTCCCATTTGCAAGGAATGGGAATTATCTCCCATTATAAGAAATTGGATTTTTTTCACATTTATCAAAATAGGATTTTCTTCCCATTATTAAGATGGGTGATTTCACCCATGGGTGCGTTCCACCCATAATGAAAATGGGAGATTCTAAAAATATTTATATTTCGATCTATATTTTTAGGAAGGAATATCTTAAGTCAAGATTAGTGATTTTATTTTAAAATAATGGTATATAAATTCTTTTAATTCTCCCGTGATTTTTTTCTCCCATTCTCGTAAAGAGGAAATGAAACCCCACGAAACTCCCACTGGGAGACCAAATCCCCAGTGGGGGAATCGAAAAACCCCATGGGATGGCCAACTTTGAATGTCTCCCCTGCATTTAATTTTAAGGGTATCGTCATTTCAAAGGCCAGGTTTTACTTGACTCAATCTCTATTATTGACCGGTCTTTAAATTTTTTCTCTAATCAATTTAAAAAAGGTAGCTGAGTTTGCGAAAATTCCGGATTTGCAAACTTATTCCGGAGGCTGTTACACACAAAACTCAGACTACCTTTTTATGATTAAACCATCCATATATATGATAGGATATATATAATATATGTTTCTTTGAACAGTTTTAAAGATACGATACAGAGTCATTTGATACACTTAATTGAGGCACAGACGCAGCGTGAACCTGTCTTATGTTTTGTTATAACATATACAGGGATAAGTGTTATAAATGTTGAAAATGTACTTATTATTGTGGAAGCCAAATGGGAATTTGTAGCCTGACGCTCAAATTATTTAGACCAAAAGTGATTTATTACCTATTAACGACAATTCAATATACAGGCTTTCACTTAGATCAATATAGATACATGGGATAACAGCTCATACTTTGCTTTCTCTCTTTCTTCCTTACTGTGTCTATTTTTTTCTTTTCTTTTGTCTTTGTATTTTCTGTTACCTTATTGCAACTTTTGTTGCAGATGTTATTTTTTGAGTAAAAGTATGATAAAGTAAAATGAAAACATTTATTATAATATAATAACAGGTTCACAAGTTTTTTTGTTTTTTGGGGTTTTTTTTTTGCGTCGACAAAACTACTGTGACCTTCAATATGCTAAGCAATAAGTAACGTTGTGATTCCTCTTAATTTAAAACGAAACTAAGATCCTTTTTGTTTTTATTATGTTCGAATTTTGCCGAATATCTGCATTTAAATAAAACAATCATGTTATGTTCATCCATCCCGTATATTTAATTGTCCCCCGCCTTTTCGAAGAAAAAAGGGGGATATAGAAATAGGCTCCGTCCGTCTGTCCGTCCGCTCCTGTAAATGACTATTATGAGTTAAAACATTGGTCCAGGACATGTTTATGAGTTAAAAAATATTATGAGTTTAAACTCATAATTTATTGAAAAAAGTTCCAAAATAAAACGTTGATGAGCTTAGAGTTCATGTTGAAATAAATTCATAATATATGGACTAATAAAATGTCCATCGCTATGGACGCGATATTTGAGTTGCTTCCCCTGCAACAAATTGATTTTCGCGCCTTTTTTTCATTTCTCAAATGCCCGGATGTCATGTGATCTGCCAACGTGATTTTGTCCGCCATCCTGGATCTCAGAAGGAGGAATTTCAGAATGGATCACTTACGCTCTAAACGGTAATTTAGTAATTTTTGAAGTCAAAGTATTGTTATAAATTGTATGTTAAATAATTTCTTCAATATTAAAGTTAACTAATAACTTTAAGGCTTGCATACTTTTTTACTTCAATGGTAACTTCAAATTCACTTGCAGATAAGTGGGTGGGGTAAATTCAGAAATTATTATGTTAATGTGTATCCGACGAAATTTGGGCTGAAATTCACAAATGAAAGTTATAAAAGGTTGTCTCAAGCTTGTAAATGTTTTTGTTAAAGAAATCCATTGTATAAACTAAATAGTTAAGTAATTTTACAGCTTTATATATAAAAAAAAATCGGCGATTTTTGTCCGAAATTGTACTGATTTCGGATAGATATTTATTCGGATACTTAACAAAGAGGTTAAGGAAAAAGTAAATATTTTCAATATATGTTGACTTTTCATTGCTGATTATTATTTAATTTTGTTTTTAAGAAGATTTATGGACTAAATAAGCTTTGAGGATGTTTAATGTAATACAAAATGGGGAAATTAATGTAAAAAAAAAATGAAGCCTATTTAAGTTTCGAGTTAAAAAAAATCAAAAGCTTTTGACTGATAAAAGCTATCGAAAGGTAATATTATGTGGAATTTTTAAGTAGTGCAATAGAGGTTCAAACTCTCTACCCTCGGGTTACAATTTCAAGTAAACATTTGACTGACTTATGTACTTGGCGTACAAGTTACAAGTCCTTTAGGTATCAACTTTCATGAGTATATAAAAGTAGACAAAACATTAAAGAAGTTGATTTCATTTATATTCATGTTTCAGTTATTTGAGATGTTGAAAGCTCTTAACTTGTGAACTCTAGTTATAAGCTCATTGGATGTGGACTCCATGAGCTCATAGAATTGGACCGAATTTTAAAGAAATTGATTTAAGATGATAATGTTTGAATATTTTGAGATGTTAAAAACTCTTAAAATTTGGACTTTAGTTACAAGCTCATTGGATGTGGACTCCATGAGCTCACAGAATTGGACAGAATTTTAAAGATACTGATTTTAAAATTTTAATGTTTGATAATTTGAGAAGCACTGAACTTTTGGACTTAAGATGTGCACTCCACTAGCTCATAAAAGTGGATCAATTGTTATAGAAAGTGACTTTAGATTATAATTTTTGAATAATGTAAGATACTCAAAGCTCTTTACTTATAAGCTCTTTGGGTGTGGGCTCCCAAGCTCATGTAAGTGCATAAAATGGTAAAGAAACTGATTATAAATTATGTTATAATAATTTGAGATATTGAAAGCTCATTAAATTTGGACTTTAGGTACAAGCTCATTGGATGTGGACTCCATGACGGGTTTTTATTAGGAAAAGGGGAAGACGCTGGTAGGGAGGGGAAAAAATATACGAAAAATGTCAGGGGAAATTATGATATTATTTGTAGTATATACTAAATTACATAGTAGAGAGTCACAACTATATCTTTTTCCCCTTAAAAACTTTATCATCATGCAAAATATTCTTTGCAGTATAACTTCGTAATATGTATGGTGGTGAATGGTTTTTATACTTCTGTTTATGTATGAAATTTAACACAGTATAGGTATAATAGTGTATCTGTGACACACTTTAGCTCCATACAAGTCATTTTCATAATAAGAAATACAAAATATATTACTTAAGTCTTTACAAAAAATAACCAAGAAAATGATAATATTTTGATAGCAACTGATTTCCAGAAATAGTACGGTTCAGTACGGCGGGATATAGCCAAGAAAAAAATGGCAGCCTCCATGCTGAGACACTCAGACAGTACTTGCAATTTCCTGCAATGTTTATGGTTATTATGCCACCGCAATCTGCGATGCGGTGGCATATAGCGATTCACCTGTGTGTTTGTGTGTGTGTGTGTGTTATATAGATTATATAGTGAACTTAAAAAATCTTCTTGTGATTTGTCCAATTTCAACCAAACTTGGCAGGATTGTTCCTTGGGTGAAGGGCTTCCAAAGTTATTCAAAGAATTTCATTCCATGCAGAAATCTGGTTGCCATGGCAACCAAAAGGAATTATAAGAATAAATTTAAAAAATCTTCTTGTAAAGACCCAAAAGGCCTAGAGCTTAGATATTTTGCATAAGGCATTGTCTCTGGTAGACCTCTAACAAGATTGTTCAAATTATAGCCCTGGGGTCAAAATTGGCCCCTCCCCGGGGATCATTGATTTTCACCATGTACATATAGTAAAAACTTTAAATACCTTCTTGTAATAACCCAAAAGGCCTAGAGCTTAGATATTTTGCATAAGGCATCATCTGGTAGACCCTTACCAAGATTGTTCAAATTATAGCCCTTGGGTCAAAATCGGCCCTGCCCCGGGGTCATTGATTTTCGCTATATGTACATATAGTAAAAACTTAAAACACCTTCTTGTAAAGACCCAAAAGGTCTAGAGCTTAGATATTTTGCATAAGGCATTGTCTGGTAGACCTCTACCCAGATTGTTCAAATTATAGCCCTGGGGTGAAATTTTAAAAAATGGGCCCCGTCCCAGGGGTCATTGGTTTTCCTTACAGGTCCTCTACCAAAGTTGTTCAAATGTCAAAAATTGGCACTGTTCGGGGGCAGTGATACTCATTATGTACACATATTAAAAACAGAAAATAAAACAAATGTTTGATGAATGGGAGAAAGCTATAGCTTAGATATTTGACTTGAAATGTTGTTTGGTGGACCTGTATCAAGATTGTTATTAAACCCTTGGGTCAAAATTATGCCTTGCCCAAGGAGACAGTGACCTACTTTCTTGTCCTTTGATGCACAGCTATGAAATTTGAACCATGAGGTGGCATAGCATTTTTCTCAAATGCAATCTTGTTTTTGACTACAATTGGTGGGTTATCCTTGATAAAATGGAGAAAATTAAAATTTTAACCATATAGATATTTAATCTGATCCAGTTCAAAAGGAAAATAGAATTTTTTTTGGGAAAAAACATGGCTTTTTACCGATGGGAAGACCCCCGACTATTGGCGTCAATTTGTTAGTAAAAAAAAAACCTGCATGAACTCATACAATTGGACAGAATTTTAAAGAAACTGGTTTTAAGTGATAATGTTTGAATATTTTGAGATGTTAAAAGCTCTTAAAATTTGGACTTTAGTTACAAGCTCATTGGATGTGGACTCCATGAGCTCATAGAATTGGACAGAATTTTAAAGAAATTGATTTTAAATGATAATGTTTGAATATTTTGAGATGTTAAAAGCTCTTAAAATTTGGACTTTAGTTACAAGCTCATTGGATGTGGACTCAATGAGCTCATAGAATTGGACCGAATTTTAAAGAAATTGATTTTAAGTGATAATGTTTGAATATTTTGAGATGTTAAAAGCTCTTAAAATTTGGACTTTAGTTACAAGCTCATTGGATGTGGACTCCATGAGCTCATAGAATTGGACAGAATTTTAAAGAAATTGATTTTAAGTGATAATGTTTGAATATTTTGAGATGTTAAAAGCTCTTAAAATTTGGACTTTAGTTACAAGCTCATTGGATGTGGACTCCATGAGCTCATAGAATTGGACAGAATTTTAAAGAAACTGATTTTTTTAAAATTGATTTTGAAATTATAATGTTTGAACACTGTTATTTGAGATAGTGAAAGCTATTAATTTGCGGACTTTAATTATAAGCTCATTGGATGTGGACTCCACTAGCTCATAAAAGTGGATAACATGTTAAAGAAACTGATTTTTAGCTCGACTAAGTTTTGGTGCAGTAAAATATTTTTCACTATAACTTTGTCATTTCTTAAGGTATCATCTTCAAACTTCAAATATATGTTCCTTATCATCAACCACATCTTATATGACAAGGGACATAACTCTGGCACCAATATTTTCAGATTTATCTCCCCTTGAACTTAGAATTTTCCTTAAAAAATACTATTTTTTACTGTTACTTCTTTATTTCTTAAGGGATCAACCTCATACTTCAAATTTATGTACCTTATCATCATCCACATCTTATGTGACAATGTTCATAACTCTAGCACCAATATTGCAAGAATTGTCTCCCCATAAACTTAGATTTTTTTACTAGAAAAATATTATTTTTTACTATAACTTTTTTATTAGTTTTAAAGGTATTTACCTCAAACTTCAAATACTTATTCCTTATCATCAATTACGATATTAAATTTTAAAAAATTATTTTCATAATATTTTTGTTTCCAAAATTATTTTTTTGATTTAGTTCACATCTAACACCTAACAGTCTTGAAACATAAGCAAAACCGTGTTTACTTTTTGAAATTAATATAAAAATTGAAAACATTCATATCGTCAAAAATCTTGACGAAAATGTTATGATGGCAGAGATCTAATCCTGTAAGGAAGATCACTGCGTAGGAGATTGCTTGCCAACATGTAGATGCTTTTTAGGTTTGGACTTCAAGTGCTCAGTGGACAAAATTTCAAATTGTTGGATAAAAGGCAGTATTTTTATTGGACCTTAATGAAACTTGATCAGAATGTTTGTCATGATGAAATCTAGGACAGTCTGTGCGAAATTTAGGATCATGATGGGATTGTATATGGGTCTTCTGGGGTCAAAAACTAAATATTTGTATTCGTGACCCTGTATCGTGATACATATTCATATTCGCTACCCCATGTAGTCGTTGCAGCTCTAGCTTATTGTTGAAATTACATGTACATGCATATTTTCAGTATTCTGGATGAATGGGTGTTTTCCAAATTGAAGGGAATTCCTGCAACTATGCGATGGCCTGTTCAGGTGCTAAAAACCAGTTCAGATGGTACTATAGATGTTTTCTGCAAGTCAGATTATGCTGTGTAAGTATTATTTGACATAATGGTAGTATGGTATGTATATACATATATAATTATACACAAACATACATATATATATATATACATAGTTACATACATACATAATCAAGGGGCAGGACGTGAAGTGGTTGCACACTTGGTTCAAGCGAGCAAATTGGTTGCAAACTTGACAAAATGGCAAACACGGCGTCATTTTTTGAAACGGGTGAACGAATTTTTGCCAGGCAAGTAGGTTTCTTTGTTATTTTTAAGGTCATTAGTATGTCTATTCCATAATGCAATATATATACCACACTCGGTTTCAGTGATTTTCCTACTTATATAACAGACTCCGAAAAAAGGCCTCTTCCCAATTGAAATTTTCTTTAAAATCATGCAGTTTTCCAAAAAATCTGAACTCAAACCAGCTTTTTTACTTCCTAAATCAGCAATTTTAGCGATAATGTTTCCCAAAATCAAGAGGCTAAGGCCTCTGACCAATAAAGAGAGAAAAATCACTGGGTTTAAGGTTTCAGCATCCTAGATTCTGTTTTGACGAAGTTATTGAAGATATAAACTGATCATGTAGATATTTCGAGAATCAAGCTTTCTTTCAAGTTTCTTTAATATTGCAAACAGATTTAATATGTCACTAACCTGATTATCTGTCTGTATTTACATCCATTTCACGAAATATCGGCCGGAAAAGAGCCGACACATGTTTGTAATATATAGAACAGAGACTGGGTAAGATGTATTTGTTGGGATAAAAGTTCGTCGGATCTTAAATTCGTGGATTGACCTACCCACGAAAACCACGAAAATTCGTGCCCCACGAATAATAATGATTTTACAATAACTGAAAAATTATTGAAAATGAGTATAAAATCCAAACAAAAAAATTTGTGCACTAAATACATTTGTGTTGTATGTCTAGGAATAAGAAATGTTTGCAACTTCTGTATTTATCAATGGAATTTTACCCAACTTTCACAGAAGCATCTTTATCAAGTGCTCTGGCACATATTGTCTAGGCTTGGGTATATGACCGGTTTTGTTGAAAATGTCCATTGTGTAGAATGTTTCCATTTGCATTTCAGAAATTGTAGAGGACTTCCTTAATGACAATGGTGTGGACAGTTTGAGTTCCAGGAAAAAATCCACAAACAGTAAGTTTCATGTGTTTAATTATACCATATTGCAAAGTGTGCAAGAGTGTATATCGGAGCCATTCTGTCGTTTGGTCAGGCAAGTGGGCAATGAATCTGTCTGTTTAAATATGTACAAGCTTATGATCGAAATACACTCTAATGTCTTGAGTGATTGGTTTGAAACTGGGTTTGTGTTATCAACACAAAGTGTAAATTGGTGTGACATAATTTTTATCTCCATCAACCTAGTCATTGTATAGTTAAATCCCCTTGAATTTGAGTTATAGTGAAAGCTGTGTTGCCTGACTATTAATCATATTAAGTGATAGCTCTTTACTTTTGTTTTATCATATGTCCTTGGAAAGACGGGACTTTTTATGTGAACAGTGGGTGGACCGTTAATAGTGATGTCAGCTCTGTAACTCTGCCTGATAACCATGGATATCGTCCCAGTGTGAATTAGATTCTTGGAAATTCACCAGATAAGCCTTGTCTGCTAGTTAATTGGATCATTGTCCACTATTGGTGGGTATATTTGGGCTTGGGTAAAGGTCAAGTTCACACTTTGCTCCTCTTTTTTAGCTCGACTTTTTTTTTTTTTTTTTGAATAAAGAAGTAGAGGTATTGTTATAGTCGCGGCGCCGTTGCCGTCCGCACACTTGTACCTGAATCATAACTTTTTTATTTCTTGGTGTATTGTCTTCATACTTGGCCAAAACAACCCTTGGGACAAGACCTTTCAGTAGACCACACTAACCTTGACCTTCATCCATAAATGACCTTGACCGTCAAGGTTAAAAGTCCAAATTTTGCTTGTTCATGCTGTAATTGGCTGTAACTTTGTTATTTTTGAATGGATTGTCTTCAAACTTGAACATATTAATCTTCAAGGATATCCCTTAAAAATAACCTGACAGACATTGACCTTCACTCATAAATGACCTTGACTTTGAAGGTCAAATTATTGAAATTTTCATGTTTCATTACGTGACTCCACCACGGGACTCCCATGTGTATCTATTTATAGAATTTTCTATTTATAGAATTGTGTTTCTATTTATAGAATTTTCTATTTATAGAATTGCGTGTCTCTATTTATAAATATACAGATTAGTTTATTAATATATAAAAATATATAGACAAAACTAATTTTACAAGACAGAATGATTAATTTTATAAAAAGGAAATGTTAAGATTTTGTTTAAATATTTCTTTGTTTGCTTTTAGAGAAAGTAAAAAGTCGAGCGTTGCCCCCGCCCGGCAGTGGCTCTTGTTTACAAGCTTTTTATGGCTGGAGTATCATGTTTCTGTATTCGTTTGTTATGTCAAAGTAGAACTCATTGGTGTCTTAAAAAAGATCACATCTTGAATATTTTGCGAGCCATCTTGTCTTATGTTATTTGGGTTTTTTTTTGTGTGTTTACAGGTTCCAGGAGAAGATGGACCAAAGATGAGGAAGATGAATTAAGACAATACTTTCCTGCATATTTCAACATAACTACCACTCGATCTTGCCCATCTCAAGGAGAATGTAACGAAGCAATAGCCTCAAGTCGTATGAATGGAGGGTCTCTACACAAGCGGGGATGGGAAACGATAAAAAAGGAAATGAAATTGGATGAAAAAAATATAGTTAAAAAATTGAAGAATTCCATCTAAAACTCTTCTTTGCAAGTTATATTTTGCTTTTTGTTTCCTTATTCATCAATTGTTGGAATGGACTTATAATTGACATTGAACTGGAGGGCAGTAAGGCCAGTTTTTTTTCAATAGACTTATATTTTTTTTTGAACCAGTTGTATAATATTACGAATATTAGATTCAGAAAAATTATTGCATTTGGTCTTGGTATGAAGATGCATGAAAAGTAAATTGTGACCAAAGAGGAGTTTAGGTGATACTAACAATTTGATGAAAAAATGAAATTACAAATGAAATTACAAACTAGATCACCTGAGGTCAAATGTAAGAAATCCTTACAAGTTCACAAATATTTTACTTTGATAATCTTGCTTTAGACAAAATTATATTTTCTTATGATGTGAATTTAAAGCTCACCCGTGCTAAGCACAGGGTGAGCTGTTCTGATTGGTCTTTGTCCGTCGTCCACAATTTCTTTAAACAACATCTACTTTACCACTGGACAGATTTTCATGAAACTTCACAGGAATGATCCTTGGGTGCTCCTCTTTTTACGTAAATTGTTTCAGTCCATTGCATAAGTAGGGCACAGCAGCACATAAAGGGTTTTAAAAGTACAAACTTTAAAAATATTCTCCTCTTAAATTGTGATAGCATCAGCTTAGATATCTCTTAAATTGTGATAGCATCAGCTTAGATATCTCTTAAATTGTGATAGCATCAGCTTAGATATTGTGTATTTAGCATAGGCAAGGGGTTCTCAACAAAAGTTATTTATAGATTTGGTTAAAATTGGGCCCATCCTCGGACCACTTGATTACATTGATTTATATAGGAATTTCTTTAAATAACAACTTCTTTAAATGTCAGTCATTTCAACCTACTTGTCCTTGACATTTTATTTCCCTATACCTCTTCATATTTAAGAGAGGGGTTTAAAGAACTGACCCTTTCCTGCATTATGCACAGGTGAGCGCTATAGCAATGATCCTCTTGTTATACTCTTCAAGCCTTGCAAATGTTGCAGACTTTTAAGCTTATAATAGCTCCTGTTTCCATAATTTGGCTGTGTTGGACGACAGAATGCAAAAAAAAATATAAAGATTTGACAAGCATTGACAGGTCTGGCATAATATTATGTCAAATATTGGTTGCTATGTTATGTATTTACTTGTGATTTAACTTAGGGGCTTGGTTAGTCTGTATAACTTCTGATAGTTACTGGCTATATTTTTTAATGTTTAACTTTGCCACAACTTTGACGGCAAACACATGGAAGTACACATATTTAGCTCTAGTTATACAAATATTGACTTTTTAGCTGTTGTATAATATACAATTTTTGACTAGTGAGCCAATGAATATGATGTGGTACTCATCGGCATATGACATATTGACCGAGGCGATAGCCAAGGTCAATATGACTTTCTGCCAGTGAATATCACATCATATTCAATGGCTCACTAGTCAATAATTGTTTTATTACATGAATAGGCTACGAATTAAAAAAATCACAAAATGTACAACCTGATATACATGTATAAATTTTTCCTTGTTGAAGTGGGGGGAAAAAAGATGCACGTGTTAGGCTTGCAGCGACTACACAACGCTACGCATACAAAAATAATTCAAGTTTACTTATCGTTGCAGTGTTGCCTTTATGTATACCGTAATAGTAAAGTAATGATATCTTATTCGAGAAATATGCCTTGAAGAGCAAAAAGCAACAATTATTTTTTAATTAACACCATAATTAACAGTTTACGGTGTATGATCATTGAATATGAGTCTCAATCTATTTTTAGACTGGGAAAATCCAATTCAGCCAGTAAATATGATACTGCACCCAGTGAATATGATTTTATAAAAAGTTCTGTTGACTACTGTTTGGACCAATGAGATTGCAGCTATATTTGGATCATATAATAATGTTATTTATTTCATGCTTTTCTGTGTTTTTACTGTAATATATCAGATGAAATTATTCTAATAAACCAATAGTGAAATTTATAAAATTTAATTTTCACTGCAGCCGGACTATATCTGAATGTGGATGAAAAAAATATCAAAACTAAATGGAATAACAGGAAAAATTTAATGCCGTCATACGTAAATTTTGCTTCTTTAGGAAAAGAAAGTCCATGCCATCATACATAAAAAACTAACAAAATTGGAGAAAATTAACAGAACTATATTTCAAGCATGGTGATGTACCATTTGGATGCGATGACATCATAAAGGAGAATGCACGACATTACACGGCAAATTCAGTTATCACTTAAAAAGCATGAAATAAACAAAATTAATTTGTTTTATATATAAGGTTGAAATATTTTTCATTCGTGAACACCAGCTTTTCTATTTTCACTTGTGGCTACGCCACTCGTGAAAATATTGCATCTGGTATCCACTTGGTGAAATTTATTTCAATCTTGCAAAACAAAAATATCCTCTTTGTATTCTGTTGAGGTCCATGAATAGAGAGCTTTTAGTGTCTATGTATTATGAGGCTATAAGTTGTGTGTCTGTTGTGAGGCCATTAGTGGTCCATGTATTATGAGTTTCTGGCAAATGAATATTATGAGTTTAAAGTTTGGTTCAGGACATGTTAATGAGCTTAAAACCTATTGTGTGTTGAAACTCTTAACCTATTCAAAAATAAAGCTATGATTAACAGAAAATTGTGTTTGTTTTAACAATTGATGCATTATGAACATCCAAATTAGAGTTTGGGCACATTCAAAGTAATGCATGTAGTTGAATTACTGGTGTTACTCCTGATCAAGTGGTCCAGCTGCAGCACTTGATGCTTCAAATGTTACTCTCGTGGATTGGTTTGAGATCTCTACTGTCGTACCTTAACTACCTAATGTTTCATGTAGGGCATTTGTCAGTGACTGGTGGGGTTATATATTCAGTACTTGATACGGCACCCAGGGACTGCTGTTATATAGCCTACATTGTGTTGAGTACAGGGTAAAACCACATATAAACCATACCAAATGATTTGATAAGTTTTTTAAGAAACAAATAGAAAAATTCATTTTGTGGTTTGGCTCATTAAATTTTCAGGTTTATAGGTAGCATTTGACATAAAATGTAATTAGCACAAGCACAATGATGGTAGTGCTGTTGCCACAATATTTTCTAGAAGATTGAGGCTGATTTTATGTCATTAGAAAATTTGCTTTTCATCATCAGCCGGATAGTCCCTTTGGACTTCACATCAACCCTTAAAGTTTGGACTTCATCTTAACCCATAATTGTTGATTTTTAGATCTCTTATCATAAGCCCGCATGTTTGGACATAAATATAGCTCATAAAATAAAAAGCTCACTAACACCAAATGTTGGTCCGTCCGTCTGTCCGTCCGTCCGTCTGTCCGTCCGTCCGTCACACTTTCGTGACCGGTCTATAACTTTGTCATTTATGAAAGGAATTTGAAATAACTTGGCACAAATGTTTATTATAATAAGACGATGTGTCATGCGCAACAACCAGACCCCTACCTCCAGGGTCAAGGTCGCACTTGCTCATTCAAGGTCAACATTGCCTATTTGAGGGTATATGTCGTGTCCGGTCCATAACTTTCTTATCTATGAAGGGATTTTGTAAATACTTGCCATAATTGTTCACAATAATCAGACAATGTGTCATGCGCAAAAACCAGTCACCTACCTTCAAGGTCAAGGTCACACTTGGAGGTCAAATATTAACATAGTCTGTTACAGGATATATTTCGTGTCCGGTCCATAACTTTGTCATTTATCAAAGGAATTTGAAATAACTTGGCACAAATGTTTGTTATAATAAGAGGATGTGTCATGCGCAACAACCAGATCCGTACCTTCAGGGTCAAGGTCGTACTTGCTCATTCAAGGTTAACATTGTCTATTTGAGGGTATATGTCATGTCCGGTCCATATCTTTCTTATCTATGAAGGGATTTTGTAAATACTTGCCATAATTGTTCACAATAATCAGACGATGTGTCATGCGCAAAAAACGGTCACCTACCTCCAAGGTCAAGGTCACACTTGGAGGTCAAATACTTACATAGTCTGTTACAGGGTATATTTTGTGTCCGGTCCATAACTTTTTCATAGATCCAAGGATTTTGAAAATACTTTGCACAAAAAGTCACTATAATAAGAGGATGTGTCATGCGCAACACCTGCATCCCTACCTCCAAGGTCAAGGTCACACTTAGAGGTCAAAAATTAACATAGTCTGTTATAGGGTATATTTTGTGTCAAATCTAGAACTTCTTCATAGTTCAAGAGATTTTAAAATAACTTGGCACAAATAGTCACCATAATAAGACAATATGTAAGGTACAACACCTGCACCCCTACATCCAAGGTCAAGGTCACACTTAGAGGTCAAAGGTTAACAGAGTCTGTTATTTGGTATATTTTTTGTCCCGTCCATTACTTCTTCATAGATTAAGAGATTTTGAAAATACTTGGGACAAATAGTCACAATGATTAGATGATATGTCATACGTAACATCTGTGTCCCTACCTCCAAGGTCAAGGTCACACTTAGAGATCAAAGATTTACATAGTCTGTTATTATAAGGGTATATTTTGTGTCCAATCTATAACTTCTTCATAGTTCAAGGGATTTTGAAAATACTTGGCACAAATAGTCTCAATAATAAGACGTTATGTCATGCACAACACCTGCTCCCCTACCTCCAAGGTCAAGGTCACACTAAGAGGTCAAATCTTAACATGATAGATTTTTAAATTCCGTGTTTCATTTTATTTTTTTAACAAATTTATTGTTACATTTGCAGATCTAGCATTGATCATAATTTTGGAGTAAATGTCCTGAGATCCATTATAACCTCAATCTTTTGAAATAGCACAATTTTATGCTTCATATAAAATTTCCCGAGGCGGGGGACGTTGGTAACTCTGTTACAAATTCTTGTTATTACCAGAGAGGTTACGCTTGTGCGAGAAAAAAAATCAGTATTATTAGTTGTTTAATCTGCGCTGTTCAATGTTGAAAATCATGTTTGACCAATTTTTAATGTCTCAAACATGCTAAGTAGGTTACAAATCCGCTAATATGTCCTCCATGTACACTAACGGTTTGCGTTACATTGTGAACACGTGATTAAAAGCATTACATCGAGACTATTTTAAGCAATGAGTGAAAAATCGTTTCATACACGATAGAATGATCATATAATGGATATAACAAATTGAATCGTGATGAATTCAAATATATTGGCAAATGCGTAGTTATTAAACTATACGTAATCATTAAACAATACGTACGTAGTAACCGCTACGCATTATGATTGAATCTAGTAACTGATAAACCGAATAACTTCTACTTTTATAACGTTTAGTAGTAATATATTTATAATGAGTATGATTGCAGTTTAAGTATAATTATCAATTAATGATGAACACTTTCTTTTCGAAAATGAAACGTTTATAATGAATAAAATACTGTTGTTTTGATTTATAAAATACAACAATTTGCGTATGTATTTGAAATGCTAGAAATCTCATTTGTACCTTTGGTCATCGTAATTACACCAACTTCATAATTTTAATAGTATCACAAAGCTCGAAAGTCGCCATATTATCATTACATTGGTCGTACCACTTAAATCCCAACCAAAAAAGTACTAACGATATATTCAAGTAAAACAGAAGAAATGAATATATATTATTTCATCAAAGGGAATATCTCTTCTTCTCGACTCATTGTCAAACAAAAAAAATGTTTTTGTGATAACGGTATTTGCAATAGAGTAAGCATGTAAAATCGATAAGCACTTCGAAACGGAACGTCATTAGTGAATTACAGAAAATCCTTCTTACGACCAGCGTGATTACGGAGATACTCTAAAGACTCAGCCATACGTACTGACAAATGGATAAACAATTATCTGTAACACGAGGAATACTGTTTAATCCTCTTTGGTCAAAGGTAAGACAAGGATGCCCTCTGTCTAACCCCAATCTTCTAATTATATCAGGTGATCGTTTTTGCCTTAAAACATGCTTTTTCGTATGAAATCAAAACAACGAAATTTTGAAAAAAGCTCATAGTTTCAACGTGAGATTTTATGTTTATAAACAGCAGAAACTATTAACTATTATTAAGTATTTGAATTCTATAATTATACCGTTTTCACGTTTTATTGCCTTTTTATAAGCTACTCTTTATTCAAATAATACCTAATGAAAGCATTTGCCTTTTATTCAATAAAATTATTTATTTATTCATTATAATCGGACACTGACAGAATAAGAGAAAAAAAAACACGTTCAAAGAAGTTAAAACATAGATGATTTCCTTAACATTTAATTTTGTTTGTCATTATTTTTTTTCGATTTTGTTTGTACTTGGGGAGAACGGATCTAAGTCGCGTTTTTTGTTTGTTTGTTTTTTTGTTGTTTTTTTTTAGTTATATCATTTAATTTTTTTTTAATAATTAACCCAACGATTAAAAAACCTTCCATTGTCATTTTAACATTTTCCCCTGTATGTTCTAGCTTTATAAATTATTTCGCAGCACATATTTGATGATAAGGGGTTTAGTTATGACATCATCACTTCCTCATTCATTCTACCGCTCTAGGTCGTTGTTAATTATGAAAAATAGAAAGAAAATGATATTAATGTAATAAGAAACACAACGTGCAAAGAGACGGAGTATTACTGTTTGTTAAAGATATTGCTGATCAAAAAAATATTTCCAAGCGAAATAAATCCGACAGCTTTCTTTTAGATAGAAAACGATAATCATGAGTGTTAAGAATTAAGCATGCAAATACCAATGTACTTTTAACGACCATATTTCATATTCTGGTAATAAATATTATGCTAAAACCCATTTTTACAGATTATTAATAATTCTTTTTTCATCAATTGTAATACTTGTGTTGTTGCTTATTATTAATAATATTTTTTCTACATCAAATGTAAAACTAGTGTCCTTGCACTTATCTGTTTATAATGGAAGAAATTCAAATCAAAATGTTTACAAAATATCATTTTTATTGATTCCTTAGTCTATAGGATGTTGTTTTATTCCCGTTAGAATGTAGAATTTCTCGCATACTATATCAAATAAAACACGTAAGCCTTCATAAGTGTTGTAAATACGATTTTTATCATAAATGATGGGTTTAAAATTCTTTTATTCTGAGCGCTACTTCTATTTCAAAACATTTTGTATCAGAATAACTGATTTGTTTTAAAAATAAATAAGCATTGTGTACCACATACCTTGCTAGAATATTTTTTTCACATCTGTACGGAAGCTATAAACAATACATTAAGTTTCTTAATTGTAATATTTTAGACAAAAGCTATGATATGAATTTATTGGTTCAATGTAAAACATATAATATGAATGAATGAATGCTTGTCCTCATGAAATACACCTTGTATAACCAAACATGAAATTGAAATATTGGTATGGAATAAAAAGCTTTATTCTTTATTATTATGTGCCCACAGTTGCTCAAATAGGTCACTGTTTCTTATATTGTCATATTCGACTTGTATAAATTTGTATTGCTGTATGATTCTGAGGAAAACTTCCTACTTTATGTTAAAGTTCCCTTCAAAGTGGGATTTCTATATTACTCCATGTGTTTAATTGCAACGAAGTATTTTTGTCCAGATCAATTCTTAAGTGTATGTGTGTATAACTTAAAATGCACACGTGTCAGCTGGAGGGGTCTTTTTCGAAATGTAATCAAATCTGACAAGATACATGAATGAAAGATAAAACTGCCAAATTTTCAATTGGCACAAAAGCTTCTTTGGTTAGCATTACAAAATGTGTTACATGTATTATATACGGATTTGATTTAAAAGCATGCTACTCAATTACGACCGAAATTATATCTTTTTTAAATGAAAAAAAAGGCGAATAAACTTTCACCACGTTATTTGATGATTTGACAGACCTAAACGAATTTCAAGATAAATAAGCCCACATGAATACATCTTATAGCATTGTTCGGCATTTAGTTACCATTTGGGTCGTAAATTGTACAACCATGATAAAAAGCGCAGCGCATAATGTATAAAATGTAATATGAAGTAATCTTATCCTTGTTATGATGCCCGTTGTCAAAAATAATTCTTTCTGACACAAACTAAGGTAATAATGTATAATTCTTACAATCAGTGATGCAATAAGAACAATAGACTAAACTTTGGTTAAAGAAAATAACAATTGCGATTCTTCTTTGATACATTTCGTTTACTTGCAGCTATCCGTTCCTACTTCTAATACTTCTTATCGATATTTTTTCATCAATTTTGCCTCCTGTTTGATTGACATATCTAGATGACGTATCTTGATTAGATAGAACAGCGGTCGAAATTAAGTCATCATAAGTATTGATTCAATCATGACAGCTTACCTGCTGTGTGGGGATAAAAGAAAGTTACCCTGAAAAATAAATGAATTTTACGGTGGCACAAAGATGACATGTGTGTGTTTTTATTTATCTCGTGGCCACGTGATACTATGTCGTGGCCACGAGTTACTAAGTCTTGGCCACGAGATGGCTAAGTAGTGGACACGAGATACTATGTCGTGACCGCGAGTTACATAGTCGTGGCCACGAGATACAATGTTGTGGCCACAAGTTACTAAGTCGTGGCCACGGGATAGCTAAGTCGTGGCCACGAGATACTATCTCGTGGCCACGAGTAACTAAGTTTTGGCCACGAGATGGCTAAGTAGTGGACACGAGATACTATGTCGTGGCCGCGAGTTACTTAGTCGTGGCCACGAGATACTATGTTGTGGCCACAAGTTACTAAGTCGTGGCCACGGGATAGCTAAGTCGTGGCCACGAGATACTATCTCGTGGCCACGAGTAACTAAGTCGTGGCCACGAATTACTTAGTCGTCGCCACGAGTTACTATGTCGTGAGATAGCTAAGTCGTGACCACGAGATACTATGTCGTGGCTACGAGTTACTAAGTCGTGGTCACCAGATAGCTCAGTCGTGGCAACGAGATGAATAACCAATCAGATAACACCATTTATATGAATTTCCCTTATTAACTAGACATGTGCTATTGTACAAGGATGTCCCCCCCCCCCCTCTTCACCATCCTGTAAGGGTGCCATTTATACAACTTATTGACTGGTCAATAATTTTACATTTAGCGTCACTGTGATCCTGATTTTTGACCCAATGACCTCGAAATTATTAGATGTCATCTACTGATCAGGTGCAATGATCTTTCTGGGTTATATAAACCATGCATTTTCCTTCTTATTTATTCATCAGACAAGGATTTGACCTTATAGGCTATCTACTGTCCATGTGCAATGTCACTTCTAAATAAAATAAAACATGACTTACTCCTTCTCATGTTATCGTATAAACAAGGTTAATATGTCTTTTGCTTCTTTACGAAAGTCATGTTGATTGAGTTGTATTGTGAATTTCACGCTTAGTATACAATAGATAAATACAGAATCCCTAAAGAAAGCCCAACACGGCAAAATTGAAAATGTTGCAGGCTCGGTTTGATTGAGCCTTCATGTCGATAATAACAAGTATGTTGATACTAATATTTACTATACTTTAGCCAACTTAATGTTTGGGCATTAGTTGAATCTTAATCATTTTGTTGATATGCTTTTGATGTTCCTAATCTGAAAAAGAAATAAAGTGGCATGTCCACCTGCTATGATCCAGATATAATAAACTGTTCAAGTAGAGTAAGATTGTTTTTGGATTTTTTTTAAGCTGCATATATTTATCATATATTACTTTTGGTGACACTTTTTTGTGCCTGTGTATTATCTTGTTATTCGTCGCGAATGAAAATTATTATCCTTCTTTCCTTAGTTGTCTAATACTTCACCATTTCCTCTTATGATACATCATTGTCCCTGTGTCAATTACCGTCTCGAATATCTTATTGATTT